TAACTGTATACTAACACCGGGCACAGGCGAGCGAATATAAGAGAGAGAGTGCCGTAGATGCAGCGCAAGCCCATCATCGCTTAAAACTAATCCCTGCACCAGCATACTGTGGAACACAAACTGGACCTCGTCGGAACCTAACGGCGGAATCTTCCTTCGGTTTGACTACAGTAGAAGCTGCTTTCTGTCGGAATAATCAACGCTGGTTGTAGGCGTTGAGTACGCACGCTATTTGTGCGGCATCGGCTCCTTCAACTGCATCTGCTACCTGACTCTTCTCTCGTCTCTATTGTCAGGCTTGCATAGACTTCTTAGTCTAATTGTGTGATTAAGGATTGGTAGATTGTGTTGAAGGGCTATCAGCTGACTGTAAGTTGAACCATGGTCCAAACCACCATGTGAAGATACACAGGAGGTGCGTTAAATTCTAAAGGGGCACCTATTCCTCCTATTCTAACTTTAGTCCTAATCCTGGCCTTGTCTGGAATTCTGGACGAAGCCGTTTGGAATAGTTAGGGAGGGAGGGGGTGGCCTAAACTACGCCCTTTTCAGACTGGTAATCAGCTAAGGAGAAGAGGTGTACCATGCTGGAATGTACTGTGATCAATAATATGACTAGAACCAAGTCAAAACACCGCCAAACACCTACATGGAAGGACAGCGTTCTCCCATACCTACAGCCCAGAAAGGCTGCTTCAGGGAAAACATTGACACCTGACAAGAATAAAAAACGCTGCTCACCTGCGGCCATGGTCTTTCAAAGCCTTGACTAGTGCTGGGACGAGAGTTTTGTGGCCGGCGGCCAGGGAACTGATTCCAACGGCGTGAACATCAGCATCGACGGCTTGCTGGGCAGCTTCCTCTGGAGTCTATAAGACACAAAAACGGATGAGAGGATGAGTTAAATCTAGCGGGGTTTACGGAAGGTTCTCATAAGCGGGGAGGGGAGGGGGCCAGGAAACCCGCGCGACATTTATGGCTTTGGAGTTGTGTGTGACTTGTTCGCGGATGTTGTCAAATGCCTTAACATTGCTCTAGGAAACCCCTCAACTCCTTTTAGATGAAGATCATAAAAAAGCAGGGCATCAGTGAGTCTGCGGTGGATTCCTTTGCACAACGCTGATCACCGGTTTCGAAGTTTAGGAGGGGGTGCACGACGTCTGACGAAGGTGACTGACGAACAAAATATGGCAGTCCTTGCAATTATTTGGCGTGAATTACGTGACACTCGGAAAAACATATCCACACAGTCTAGTGAACGCTACCACCAGCACTGAAAATAAGGCTCACCAAAAAAAAAACAAATTCAGACGACATAATCGGTCCTCAAATCTGTACACGCACGCTGAACACAGTAGACTTGTTCGAAAAGAAAAAAAGATTTCAAAGTGGTTTTGGGCTGAGTACAAGAATATGGACGCCCCCTCATGTATTACACGCGACCCTGCGCTAAATTTCGAAGGAGGGTTAAAGCTAACCTTCGTAGTGGAATTCAGTATGAGTTCACCTTCACTACCTAGGGACCAATATCCCCCTATCCGAATTTGTTCTGGAACATTTACCCTCGAAAAGTCCGTTAGCATTGGTAGAAACCACGTCAAAGGTGGTTAAAAAGCTATGTTTCCTAAAATAAGATTCCAAGCCTTTCCGACGTCTAGGTATTAGAAGCAGCACGGCTTGTCTACGTACCTGTGGGCTTTAAACTACCTACTCGTTAACTCTCCTAGTGCAGCAGGAAGCAGTGAAAAACATTTTTCAATGCATTGACATATCATACCGCATCACTAATAGAGAACAGAGGCTGTCGCATTGACTATTTCCGGCTTGTGTGTGGTTCTCAGCAGTGTCCCTGCAATTCGAGTTAACTGGTGAGGACAAATAGGTCAGAAACGACCCCACTTTCCCACGCCAGGTGCCCTTGTCTTGGCCAGTGATTTCTGCCAATTATCGATTGAGCAGTGACAGCTCTGAGCCGGGAGCAAACGAAACGCTGCCCGACAGATAGGCGGCCAGATTGGTGAAAAACATTTTTTTCTGACGGCGATAAACTCTGGTACCAAACCGGCACTTCCGTTTTCCTGGAGACGCACGAAATTTGGCCAACTACCACAGCACTTCAGTCACTTTTCTCCTACACCATGGTCTTCATCCCTGCGAAAAGTAGGCCCAGCAAAAAACACCCTTCGCACAACAAACTACTTCAGGACAATCTATTTTTGAAGACCAAAGAGGGCCAGTGGAGGTTAATTCGAAGAGGGCGCACACGGGCCTTCCCAGCATTTCGTAAGCGCCATAAAAGTGCAGGGCCTAGCATTGCGGTCAAAGACAAGGGCGACTGGAATGGCCATTTCGGGCACATTAGTCATCATCAGATTGTCGCATCCAACTTTAAGTGGTGCACCACCCGAGGCTCGAACCCGTGACCTTTTGGACAGAAGCCTAACGCTCCAAGTATTGCCTGGTAGTCCATGCAATGCTATCTGCCCAGACTACTAGCCACTATGCGTGGCTGTTGGTTGGGCTCGAGAATGAGCCTGGAGGCAGAGAGCGGGACGAGTAAGTTCCATTAGGGATCAGTGGACACCAATCAAGCAGTAGGGTACCGATTATTCCGACTAACAGTGGATAGGCGCAGAAACGACCGACCGACGGACGACAATTGTAGCAGTTCTTAAACGCACTCTTACGGACTGAGCCTACTTCCACTGACAGTAGGGGACAAAATAAGCTGAGAAGGTGTCTATGCAAAAACAAGGCTAGGGTTAAAGAAGGCACAGAGAGAGAGAGAGAGTGAGTGAGTGAGAGAGTGAGTGAGTGAGAGAGAAAGGAGAATGCGGTGGAGAGTGGGGGTGGGCGCACTTACAGCGAAAAGGGGTCCGACATCGACATCGTAGCCGAGATCGGAGAAGCCGGAGGCGACGACTTTGGCTCCACGATCGTGTCCATCCTGACCCACCTTGGCCACAAGTATACGCGGGCGACGACCTTCTGCGGCGGCGAAGGCCTATGCAAGCGACAAAGACATCACAGTCAGATTTTGAAAGACAGAGGGGGGGG